CTAATATATATATATATATAAGGATATTAATTACATAATTATGGTACTATACATTACACATTATGATGTTAATTACATAATTATGGTACTATACATTACACATTATGATATTATATACGTATGGTACTATACATTACACATTATGATATTATATACGTATGGTACTATACATTACACATTATGATATTATATACGTATGGTACTATACGTTATACATTATGGTACTACGTGTATTATTATCTATTATTAGGCATTAGCATTTGTAAAATCTCAATTAAAATTAAAAGAACAGACAAATAATGTGAAATACAACAAACCAAAACCAACGTTTTATGAACTTTTTATTGCAATTTAAACCGTTGACAACCACACAGTCCTTACAGACAGGCGTCAGACTGATTCGATTTTTTATTGTTGTTTTTTTTTAAATAAGCGTTTGGGTGTTATGTATCTTTAACACATAGCTAGTTGACGTATATACTCAAGAACAGAGAAATAGTTTGTGTTCAGTAAATAGATGTTGGCATTTAAGCCTTCATAAGTGATTTGTAACGTATTTATATAGTATATTTAAAACAATTTATAATTTATGAAATTTACTTAGAAACACATAAGTAACGTGTTTTTAAATATAATTTGGAACTTAGGCCTTTATAGCTGATTTATAATATATCTCCGAATACAATTAAAATCATCCTAACATAACGCATTCTTATTACAATATGTACTCTTAAGAAGATAATTTTTTTCTTCACAACGTTACCTTAAGTTTCACTTTCGTTTTTGGAGAACATGAAACTGTAAGTTAAAGAGTATAAAAATACCGTTTTTAGGGTTATAAAAGTGAGGGAGTTTAATGACGTCATCGGGTCAAATTTCCCTGCATTTTGTTTGTTTGTAGTTAAACACAAAGCTACACAATGCGCTATCTGCGGTGTGCCCAACACGGGTATCGAAACCCGGTTTTTAGCGTTATAAGCCTTTAGACTTACCGCTGTGCCACAGGAGGGCGCTTCTCTGGAACAATCTGAATACTACAAAATACTGTTGGAAGAAGAGATCTGAAAATTTAAATTTCCTTGCGCATTTCTGTAAATAAGATATAGTACTGAACTTTTTATAAACTAACGACTATTTAAATTTAAATATGAATTCTTTACAATTTGATTTATATTAAACGACCTACCTAACTGGTCAATCCGAGTTGATAAATTAAGGGTGGCCGCCACCAGGACAATACTTGTAATAAGTATGAAGAAGAATACTGAACAGATGATGCCGATAATTATTCTCCGACGTCGAGACTCAGGTTCATTTTCATCTTCTTTGACTTCCTGTTCGTCCAGGGATCGCCTTGGAGTCCGAATGTGTTGTCGTGAAGACGATCCACTTCCCACCGATCCCCTCGGAGATTGTGATGGACGCCTAGAAACGTCCATGAAACTGTTAGAATCCCGAGAAGCTCGAGAAGAACGGCGAGATGGATTTTGATAAGTTGCATCTGATTCACGCGAGGCTTTGGAGGATCGACGGGACGCTTCATTAGTAGTCACGGAACCTCGTGATGCTCGTGAGGATTTGCGAGAAGGTGTTGTAATGGATCCTCTTGGTGTCCGCGAGTGACGTCGACGGCGGTTACTAGCGCTTGATGACCTCCGACTGTGACCGCTCGCGTTAGATCTTAAAGAACTACGACTAAGGCAGTCTAGCCGGTAAAATTCTGTTTCCGGACATGACCTTTTTCGTTGACCTTTCTTCAAAGGTACCTGTTCACTGGGTATCTCCATAGAATGTCTTCGGAACTGGTCGTGACCGGCAGGGGTGTAAACCGGTGGAAGACATAGGTAATCCTTCTTCTGAAGTTGCTGCTTAGAGCATTCTGTCGTATTATTTGTCTCCAAACTATGGATTTCGTTCGTCGTAAAAGACCTCCGAAGGTCACAATGGTCTTTATTTCTACGTTGCTTTTTTACTTTGGTGGTTGGGCTGTCGTCATCCACACCAACTCGAATTACCGTCTCCTCACTTATTCCTTGGTCGGCGGTTGACAAGATATATGAAGGAATAGTCAACGAGTTCACGACACTTTGCTTCTTACGATCGTTCCCTGTTTCCATGACTACAGTCACAACATCACAGTTTAGCTTTTCCTGGTGACCTTTGTCTGAAGATTGATCTGTGTTACTGGTCATTTCGTCGGACATTTTACATAGTTTTTTACGTCAAATAAACAAACCGTTTCTGGTGTTGTACCACAGCTTGCCGATTCAACAAGCCCTTGTACACAATAATAGTTCTGTATTGAATTACTAGTTCAAAGGTGAAGGGCGTTACGGGGAACTTGTTTTATGGATCCAGTAATCAAATAAATACAATATTTGAAAACTGTACAATGGGTCTTTTCAATGACAACCGTGCTATTTATGGCCAACTAATTATATTTATCGCATTCGGTAACGTTAGCTAAATTCACCCCCTTTAATCGAGGCTTCCTGACGTCGTACTAACCACGATGCTGTCAGGGAAAGACGAACACGCGGAAAATCAAAGGCGTACATCCTTTACGCGTGCGCAGTGAATGCCAAGGACACTATAGCAGAGAAAAGCTTTATTTTCTTTTTCTGGGAGACTAGAAATCCGCCAAAATGAGAACCATGCACACACACACACAGAAGAAGTCATGGTAATGATTCTCAATCATCCGTGATCACTCGTAATGCGTGCTACTATCATGTCACAATAAAACTTCGCGCTACGCCCCGTAGCGTTGTCATACAGACACATCGTGTATGATATGTTTGTGTTTTTATGTTTCAAATAATTCTGTATCATATATGTAAATATATATATGTTAGATATACTGTGACGTCATAAACCTAAATCCGTCATAACCTACACATCGATTCGAAGTATTAGACTTACGTAACAGGTAACCTGAATATCGATTTGAAATTAGTAAATTCACTAATTAATAATTTAAATATCGATTTAAGTCCTAATTCTTAATATAACTGATGTGGACTTGAAACATAAAAAATAATATCTCAAATGTCGTTTGTTTAGTTGCTTGTTTGATAGTCACATTATAATGCCCCTATGGCTGAAAGGACGAGCATGTTCGGTGACAGGATTCGAACCCGTGATCTACACACTTGGATATCGTTTTAAATGTTATTTTTACTATAACCTGAACATAGACTTCAAACTTTAAACGCAGTAGCTGATTCGAAAATGTGTGGTTTCAATTCTTGGAGACACAGATGTGAATTTAATACTGTATTCTATTCATGAAGTGTGTGGTTTCGCTTCTTTTGAGACACAGATGTAAATTTAATACTGTATTCTCTTCATGAAATGTGTGGTTTCGTTTTTTGAGACACAGATGTGAATTTAATACTGTATTATATTCATGAAGTGTATGGTTTCACTTCTTGGAGACACAGATGTGAATTTAATACTGTATTCTATTCATGAAGTGTATGGTTTCACTTCTTGGAGACACAGATGTGAATTTAATATTGTATTCTATTCATGAAGTGTATGGTTTCACTTCTTGGAGACACAGATGGGAATTTAATAATGTATTCTCTTCATGAAATGTGTGGTTTCCCTTCTTGGAGACACAGATGTGAATTTAATACTGTATTCTATTCATGTAATGTGTGGTTTCGCTTTTTGGAGACACAGATGTGAATTTGATACTGTGTTTTCTTCATGAAATGTGTAGTGTTGTGAAAAACGTATTATTGCACGCACCACTTGCCTAAAAGCACATTCAGTTTGAAGATGTGTATGTTCGCTTGTTTCCTCCTCCATCTGTTGTTAATATTTTTCCTGTCATTTTTTATGGGTTTATTTTCGTTTGTTTGTTGTTAAGCGCAAAATTAGTCAATAGACTACCTGTACTGTACCCACTATGGGTATCGAAACCCGGTTTTAAACATTATAAGTCTTCATACTTACCGCTGAGCCACTGGAGAGTGGGGAGATTTTTGATGAAAGAAAAAAACAACAACAATCAAACAGTGATTTCCATTACAATTTTGATAATGTTTTACATCCTCTTATAAGGCGATATCGCCCGGATTCAGGGTCTCTAATAACATATCATAATATATAACATTTAAACAAAAATAACATCAATGTTGAATTTAATTCAATTAATGTTCCTGAAATATTTTGTGAATTATTTGGTGAAAATAAGTGATTTTTTTCCCTTTTCATTTTTGAGTTTGTTATTTCTTTAAATTTTGTACCTCAACAATTGAAGTAATTGTTTACTTTAGAGCTAAGTTGCATTACGCTATCTGCTGTATCAACCGAGGGATCGAACCCCGGATTTACGCTTCGTAAGTCTGTAAACTTACTGCTGTTCCATCACAGTAATTGTTTACTTTAGAGCTAAGTTGCATTACGCTATCTGCT